CTATTAATCATGATCTTTTCAAGAAAAACTCTCCACCCCAATTGAATCAAGAAGGATTAATAAAAATAAACCAAGCATATATGGATGGATTAAAGAGAATCAAAGAAATTTTTCGGCAAGAAGTAATAAAAACTGAGGCAATTAATACTAAAGGAAGAAGGGTATTGTCAGTAATGAAAACTAAAATTTCTGATTTATCAAAAAATAAAAAACCAAGAAAGAATACTGTGCCAAAAAATAATGGGAATCAATCATCTGGTGTATTGCCAATTCAATCTAACGAACAAGTTCTTCAGTCAGTTAAAGGTAATTTAAAAAGAGCGAGTATTGAATTAGACAATCAAAATGAGCCTCAACCAAAACGCCAAAGAATTAGAATTATAACAACTGAAGAAGAAAAACAAATCTTAAGTTGCTTGTTACAAAAGGAAATAATATCCACAGAAACTGAAATTAATGAAGTCTTAAGTAAACTATCACAAGAATGGAATATAAAGCGTGTTAAAAGGTATTGGAATAATAATATTAGGCATAAAAAGAAAAGTAAATAGGTAATATCTTTTTTTCAAAGCAATAAAGTCAGGTTGTAATATTGAAAAAGTACATTTCTATTACAAAAAGTGTTTTTACATATATAAAAAAAAATCTAGTATGTAAACTAATTTTATAAGATAAAGTAAACGTAACTGGCACATCTTTTTACATATATTTTGGCTATTGTTGATATTTAACAGCTTGAAATTAAAAAGGATCTTGAGAAAAAAGACAAAAATAAAAAAAAAAATATCGAATATTTTGAATTTCTATTTTAATTAGTTAATGTTCAAAAAAATGAATTTAATACCTAAAATGGAAGTCAGAAGTTGATTTTCTGTGATAAAATCATGACGTAACATTATGTTTGAATAAGTTAATATTGAATGAAGTTTAACGATTAATGTTACACAGAATTTTAACAATTAGTAAATTGGTGTAACTGGATTTGTCCGGTGATTGTTATTATTAGATTTTAAATATATTAAAAAAGAAATTTTTTTAAAGTAAAACATGTAATTTATTTATAAAAATTAAAATTGTTTTTCTTAAAAACTGTCTGAATAACAGTCTTTTTTAATATAAAAAAATCCCATTTTTCTCATAAATTTATATATAATAAAGTTATAATAATATATATATATATTGTTTAAATTAGTGTTTTAATTAATTTTAAAATGAAATCTTAAAATTCAAAAGTTATTAAAAAGAGTTTTACTAATATTACTTTTCTAAAAATTTATATTTTACATGATTTTTTGCCAATTATTTTTTTTAAAAAAATTTTCAAAAAAAAAAAAAAAAAAAAACATTTGTGTTATTATTTATTTATTTTACTTTATATAGAAACCAAGTTTCCTTACATTTTTTAACAATATTTTTTACATTTTTAATTGTAAATTATAATTTACATTTTTTTTTGAAAATTTAGGTAAAATTATATGATTATATAAATTTACTAATAAGTTATTACTTTGAATTAAAATTAGTCTAATAGTCTTATACTATTAAAATTATATGTAAAAATATTGCATTTTTCTTAAAAATTGTCTAAATAATAATCTTTTTAAACTTAAAAAATCTTAATTTATAGTAGTAATTTTTATAAAATAAACTTCAAATAAAAAAAATAAATAACTGTGATTTCAGATTATAGTTTTATTTGTTATTTTAAAAAATTTTTCCTGTAAAATTATATTGCCTATATAAAATAAATATATGAGATAAAGAAAATTAAGTTACTTGTAATGAAAATAAAATTAAAATCATCAGTAGTAATTAAAATTCAAATTTCATTAGTAATGAAAATAAAATAAATTTATAATTATAATAAGATCTCAAAAAAAAATTTTTTTTTTTAATCTTATTGAAAGCAGTAGGTTTATATTTTAATAATTATTATTTATATATTTTAAAACTTTAAAGTTTGTTTAATAATAAATTTTATTAGTTAATATTAATAATTTTTTTTTAGTTTATTTAACACTATATATATTACATAAATATACAAAATTTTTTTTTTTTAAAAAAAAAAATCTATCTAATTAATTACAAAATTAAATTATAATATATTATATATATAATATTTTTTTTTTTAGAATTGTAATCTATAAATTTCCATTAGTATTTTGTTTTTCTCTCCAATTTTTTCCTTTGAAATATACAAGAATAATACAACTAATACTTAATAAATTAATAGAAGCTAATATAGTAAATAACCATCCAATACCAATAGCATTTCTTATTGGAACAGTCATAATAATATAAGCAGTAGCCAATGTACAAGGAATAAAATCACTTAATGCAATAGCTGATGCACTAAATTCAGGATATGAATCAACCAAATAAGTTATTGTTGAATTAAAAACAAATAATGAACCAGTTCCACCTATAATTAAAGAAAGGATTAGAATAAAAAGATTATTTTAATAAAACATTATTAATAAACTTACCTATAAACATTGCAATAATAGGAAAAATTAAATTAATTTTAAACTGAAGTAACCATCCAAAAGCACAATATGAAATAGGTATTAATATGGAACCAATCCAAATACTTTTTAATCTAACTTCCGGATAACTTTGACCATCATGATCTGATTCATATTTAGCCAAAACATAATCAGAATATCGACCACCTATAACACTACCAATTAAATATCCTATACCTGGAGCAAGAAAAGTTAAACCAATAGTAAAAGATGATAACTTATATGTATCAGAAAATGTTGGTATTATAACGTTCTGTACATACATAAATGCCCAAATTGAACTCATATATACAATTTTTAATGCTACATTTGGAAAACGTAGGAGTTTTAATGGAATTAATGGGTTTACTTTTTGAAATGCTTGTTTTAATGTATAAGAAAGTTGAAGTGATGAAGAAATATTATTACGTCTAAATGTTTCAGGAAGAAAGAAAAATATTATTAAAAAAAGAATGCATCCAAGAGAAGCTAGAAGCCAAAATATCCATTTAAATCCTAGACTTTCCGTGAGATATCCACCAATTATAGGACCACCCAAATCTCCGATATAAAATCCAAGATACATAATTCCATATGCTCGACCTCTTTCTATGGATTAAATAAAAAATTAGGTTAAGAATTATAAAAAAAAAATAAATAGCTAAAACAGTACAAATTGCAGATACCTGTTGGAACGTAAATGTCACTTATGACACCAGCACCAAGACATTGAGTTGAAGATGAACCACAAGCTTGTAACGATCGCATTGCAATCAATACCCAAACATTTTTTACTAAAGCGCATACAACACTTGGAACAACGAAAAGTGATAAAGCAATCAAATAAAGATGACGTCTATTTCCATAAACATCAGAGAAACCTCCGACAAAAAGTGGCTGATCAAAATGATTAATTAATATTTATTAAACATGATGAAAAAAGAAAAAATTTTTTTTTATGCTTACTGCGGTGCCCGTGAAGAATACGTATACGCTTACTACGTATATATTTAAAAATTCGTTACATTCGTTACTTAAAAAATGCAAATGATATTAAATATATTGTACTCATTGTAACCTTACCCGATACGTTAACGATAAACTCGGTGGTTCGAAAATAATGGCGTACATCTATGACAGCAGGATAATACATTCTATACAAAATAAAATTTATTTAATACAATTTTAAAATAATTTATATTTAAAATAAAAATAAAATTATGGTTTACGTGTTAGCCATTGGAGAAATCATCGAGGTAAGTGAGATAATAATAAGAATTAAAATTTTCTTTTTCGGTGACCAATTTTTTGGATCATCATATGAAGAATATATAGTTGTTGATTCAATATCTGCAACATCTGCAAAATCAATTAAAGTTATTTCAGATATTTCGGATGATTCCCTTTTAGTTTCCTGTAATTCTGCGAGGTTTTCATGCTTTTCTAAATTAGTATTTGATGATTCTAAAGTTTCCTCACTAACATTAATTTCTATCGATTGATTATTATTCATATCTAAAAATAAAATAAAATAATAAACTTTATTATTATAAAAATTCATCACTTAAATACTTTTTCGAAAAAATTTGAATAGTTTCTAAATAGGAAATAAATAATCAAATTATTTTCGACCAATTAAAATTCATGCAAAGGAAATCATTAATTCCATATAATACAAAGGATAAAATTTTATTCCTTACAATTATAGAATTTTAATTATGGAAGCACATAACGGATGTCACGACTCACGACAACGTACATTTCTATTGTTTATTTAGTACAGATAAATTGATAATTAGGTAAATTACAATGATGAAATTTACATTAGTTATTAATTTATTCATTGTTTTGTATAAAAAGAGATTAATTTTTTTTATTTTTTATTTTCGGAGAGTGACGAAAATTTTATGTACTCTTGGTTTGAGAATTCATCAAAAATATAAAAATATTTTAGTCACTTTTACATTTGTTGCATAATACACGTCATGTGATCAATTTTATATATATATAGAAAACAATTCTGCAATGTTTGTTAAGTATGCATAATTCTAGTCTAAATTAGGAAATTATTTAAATTACTTATTTTCTACTTATTAAATTCCCGTTATTGTTTTCATTATTTTTAGCGAATAAAAATTTGTCATTAACCTTTTATGATTTGTGACAATTATACAATAGAATGAAAGTTTTTCTGGTCGTAAAAAAAGAGGATTTTCCTAAGGCGGTTTAATAGCCGGTTATATATAAGTGATGAGGTCATAATTCGCAAATATTTCAAAAAAAAAAAACTTTATTTTAATAAAAGATCAAGATTATCACGATTCCGCTCAAGATTCGATTATTCGAATATATATATATATATATGTACATATAAATTATAATTCGAATCTTCTGTTTTCAAACACTGCAGGCAAATTTTTTTTGTTTCCCAAATATTTGTACTACACTACAAATCTCACGATTAAAAATTTCTCGGAAATCCGGGTAAAATCGAAACAATTTTTTTTTTTGCTACGTTTGCGCCACATGTCGGATAATTAAAAAATCACTTTTCTTTTTTTCGTTTAATACAAAAAGACGATAATCTCGATTTTTTTTTTTTTTCTAACCATTGAATGATCGGAAAAAAAATATTTTACATAAATAAACGAACCATGTGCGATTATAATTAATAAAATGTTTTATTCTTCCTAAATATGATCTAAGATAATAACAATATAACAATATATTTATTTAATATTTTTTTAAGTTGCAAAAGTAAAAAAAATTTGTAGTAATGTGGTTGGATATGTTCATCCGGTATTTCACGTGATTAGATGATCAAAGGTAAAAAAATTTTTTTGAGTAATTTCATTTGAAACGAAACAAGTTTTTTTTTTTTATGTAATTTTTTTTTTTTTTTCAAAGATCTTTTTAAAAAATCCTATAGATTTCTAACTATTATCTATCTTGAGCTTAATAAATTAAACTTTGCAATAATTATTTCATCTAATGATCAAATTTTTTTAAAAGACCGCGGTTAGTATACTTATCCCTTTTAAGCTTATGACGCAATGGATTACTTATAAAATCAATTTATAGATTAAATAGATTAAATTAAAAATTTTTTTCTCATTCCTTTTAGTTTTATTTTTTTTTTTTCCTACTTTTTCTAATCTTTGAAACACAATGATTATACAACAATTCTCTCCAGAGTTACTTACAGAAATATTTGGAAATCTTTATATCAATGATTTATTAGTATGTGCATTAGTAAATAGAAAGTGGAGTGCAAATGCGATGCGTATATTATGGAAATGTCCTATTCAATTAGCAACTTTTCCTTTAAAAAATACTAAATCACCACAAGAAAAATTATGTTCAATAATTTCTACTATAGTGAAATGTTTATCAATTGAAGTTAAAAATAAATTAAGAAATGTTTATGGAATAATTATTGATGAAACTAAGAATGAAAGTGTACCAATGTTTGATTATTGTTTATTCATGGAAAAGTTGAACTTTGTAATAATGTTTAAAGCTACATTGTTCTGGTTAAATTCTCTGGGTTGTGTTACAGGTAAAAACCTTTTTCTTATGGATTTGAATGAATTAAATGAACTAAATGATATAATATATAATTATATATATATATTTTTCTAATAGGATTAATTTATCATCATATTATATTTCAAGAAATTTGTAACTTGGTTATCATAAAAAGTAATATTCTTAATAATCAACAACGAGATACAAATAAGATGACCGAGGCAAAAATCGTTTTAAGTGCATATAATCCAAAACAAATGTTAGAAGGTGAAATTTGTAATAGAAATTATAAAGAATCAGATTTTCCTTTGCCAAGTCATTTACCTTTAATGACACAAACTTTATCAAGATTGGAAAGGGTTACATTAAATACTTGTATACAACCAAGATTTATTTATGACCTTAATAATATTTGTAGAAATGTTTTGGATATAAGTATACATTGTGGATGTAATGACGATCAACATTTGGCCGATTTCATAAATAATCAAGAAAAATTACAAAAAATAGTATTGTTTTCTTTTAAATCGGATATACGATTAGAAAAAATATCTAAAGCTATTAAAAATAAATTGGAACAATTATTATCATTAAATATTTCAGCAGGACAAGTACCATTGGAAATTTTTAATAACAAACAATGTAATCAATTGATTGAATTACATTTAGTTGATTGTGATCAATCTTTAACAAAACTTTCTGATTGGAATCAATTCCTTTGTTGTAATGATACTAGTTTTAAAAATTTGAAAAAATTGGAATTACAATGTAATATAAAGAATTTGGAAAAGATTGGAACATTTCTTCAAAAGGTTTCATCATCATTACGTAAACTTATTTTAATACGTAATAATCCTGAAGATCAAATTTTAATTGATAAATTTTATAAGAATGTTGCAAAATATTCTTCAAATTTAATTCAATTGGATTTAACTATACCGGAATTTATTGAATCTTTGATAATCATTTTACCATCATGTAAAAAACTTGAATATTTAAATTTAAGGGATCCTTGTAATCAACCAAATGATTTAAATGAAAGATTTCCTTTAATTGGAAAATATTTTCCTTTATCATTAAAAAAATTTGGAGTTGAATTTGATTTAAATGTTTCAAAGGAAAAGATTGAAGAATTTTTAAATAATTGTTTTAATATTGGAATAAGAAAATTATCACTTGGTTTTTATTTTATGGATTTTACTTTGGATCATGAAATCATTATGAGAAGACACGTACAATTAGGAACTCTTAGTAGTGAATTTTATGAATACTGGATAAAAGAACAAAAAGAGGTTATAATTGAAGTAAATAAACAAATAAAAAAAAAAAAATATATATATATATTTTCCTCAAAATTTATTATTTACTCAAATAGGGAAATATGATTTATGACGAAAATTTAACCGTTCAAGACAAGGAAAAAGATTATTGGTTTGATTTCATAAGGGAGTGCATGTAAGAAAAAAGGTAATTTCAGATAATTTTAAATAATTTTAAGTGGGTTAAATAATTTTAAGTGAGTTAAATAATTTTAAGTGGATTAAATAATTTAAGTGGGTAATTTTAAATAATTTTAAGTGGGTAATTTTATATTAATTTGGGGAAATTTTATTTTAATTTTGAGTAATTTTATATTAATTTGGGCAATTTTATTTTAATTTGGGCAATTTTTAAAGGCAATTATATTTAATTTGGGCAATTTTATTTTAATTTGGGCAATTTTTATTTTAATTGGGGACAATTTTATTTTAATTTGGGCAATTTTATTTGAGCAATTATATTTTAATTGGGGCAATTTTATTTTAATTTGGGCAATAATTTTATTTTAATTGGGATAATTTTATTTTAATTTGGGCAATTTTTAAGGGCAATTATATTTTAATTGGAGCAATTTTATTTTAATTTGGGCAATTTTTATTTTAATTGGGATAATTTTATTTTAATTTGGGCAATTTTTATTTTAATTGGAGCAATTCTATTTTAATTTGAACAATTATATTTTAATTGGGAAAATTTTATTTTAATTTGGGCAACTTTATTTTAATTTGGGCAATAATTTTATTTTATTTTATTTCAAATCATTTTTATTTTTAAATCCAGATAATTGTTATTTTTAACTTTAGATAATTTTGGGTAATTTTATTTTTAATTTTAGATAATTTTTGGGTAATTTTGGTAATTTTACTGTTATCTAGATAATTTCGTTATATAATATCTTGCATTTAGAATGTAACCTCACCAGAATGTTCTATTTTTTAGCACAGACTCTGGGTATTTTTTTCGTTCTCATGACATGAATCGTGATATGAATCATAGATACGGACTATGATGAAGATTTATGATTTCTGGATTATGCATAAGAAGTTTATAATATGCAATATGATAAGCAAAAATGCACAGTTGAGTACATGATTTCTTTGTTTAAACAATTAACATGATTAAATATGGAATTCATATAAAGAATGATTGTATAGATAGTGTAACATATTCTTATTATTACAAAGAATTTATCAAGAATATATTCAAGTTTGAAAAGAAAAAAAAAAAAAATTTTTTTTTCTTTTTTTAAAGTTCAGGAGTTTTTAATAATTAAAAAGAAATAAAGATCTGCGACATGGAATATTCAAGATTATAACTCGTTTTATTCGTTATTTTTTTTTTCATTTTTTCATTTATTTCTATTTATTTATTCATTTATTCAGCATTTATTCAGAATTTTTTTTTTTTATTGTTACGATGTAACGATGTTTAGTCATGTTACGATCAAAAAATTTTGATTTCTTGTCAAATAGCTCCCCAAAAATTTCTTTTTTCCTTTGTAAAAAAAAAAAAATGCATTTGAAATAAATAAATAAATAAAAATTTTTATTGAAGAATCAAATCAAGTAATTTATACAAAGGTACGTTTCACATTGAATTTTTTAACTCTAAAAGTAATATTCATTTGATAATACGGAAAAATCATCTTATAAAGAAAAATTATTATTTTTTTTTTTTGGTCAGATGATGATGAACATCCATTACATTTTGTCATTTTTTTCCGGATTAATGAAAGGATGAAGAAAATGAGGGGGGACAAAAAGTGGCGAAGTAATTCAAAAAAAACTTGATTTTTTTTATAAAATAAATATTTATGTGGTTATCTTTGATTTGTGAAAAGTATTAGTAAAAAAAAACAAACATATTTTTTTTTTTGCGATCTCCCTTTCGCCCCACCTTAAATAATTAAAAATAAAATCCTGTTATAAAAAAAAAACCTTTTACTAAAAAACTTTAAAAAATTCGGCGTTTAAAAAGAATTTTTTTTTCACATTCGGAAAAAAAAAAAAAAAGAAAAAAAGAAAGTCAATCAATTAATTATATCAGGAAATTTCATAACAGAAATATAACAAGAAACATTATATTAAGTTTATTATTATAATAAATATATTTGTACCATATTTACCATATATAAAAAAATGATATCTATTTTATCTTTTTAAAGTTAGAGTTTGAAAGTTTAATAAAATCAAAAAGAAAGATAATCTGGTTCGCCTTTTCCTTATGACTCACGTTTTGATCGTCTTTCTCTTTCACAAAATCCTTTACAGGTGATCATTGAAAATATATTTTTTTTTTAAAGTAATGCTTATGGTAATGATCATAAATAGTTTAATGATAATATGGACTTGATTTACTTGATTTTACGAATAGTAGAAAATTAAATTTATGCTATTTGAAATAAAAAGAGTATAGTTCCAAAAATTGAAACACGACTCGTATTAATATATTTGACAAAATAAATGATTCGATAATAATAATACAAATATGTTGAAGAATGCATGAAAAAAAAAATTAATTATATTACACATTATTAATTTGTTGGTTTAAAATGTTTTTTTAGAATGGGTTTACTGTAAAGTGTAAAGATCATATAAAAAATACAAGGTGTCGTTTATCTTATATATATTCGCTATATCGTTCATGTCCAAATTAGCGTAGAAAGTTGTGATCCAGAGAAACCAAATTTCGTTAAAGAAACCTGTATCGAAAAAAAAAAAATAATAATTAAAAAGAGCGTTCGATAAACTATCACGAAAAAAAAGTTTAAAATAATGTACTTACGAAATTATTAAGAAATTCAAAATCGATTGCAATCTTTCTGGGTTTCTTTTCTGATAAAACTTTTTCGGAAACTTCAACAATTTCAGATTTTTCATCAATAATTGAATTCTTTTCTTCAATTTCTCCTTTAATTGGCTCTGGTTCTTTTGGTGATTCAACAACAACAGTTGGAGGAGCGGCAATAAGAGCAGTTGATTTTTTAACAACAAAAACAACTTTCTTTTCTTCAATAGGTTCATCAAAAGAGTAATTTGGCATACGAATAATAATACGGTTCTTTTCTTGTTCTTTTGTGTATTTATCTAATTGAGCCTTCAATAACGTAACGGAAGGACTAGCTTCATTAGTAAGTAATTTTTCGTTGTTACCGTTAGAGTTGTCAAGTGTGGGAAGAGAAGTGGAAAATGATGGGGAGACTTGTACGTCGCGAACAAGTTCAGCTTCGCATAATTTTTTAAGATCGCCGAGTAAATTAGGAGGAAGTAATTGTAATGTTTGATAGCTCCAAAATCGGTTACGTAACTTTGAACTTGTAAAAGAAGTTGAGGAGGAATCATCATGATTGACTAGTTGTTTATGAACTTGAGGCAGTGAAGAAATATAATCCTTATAATCGTTCAAAAATTGTGAAACTTTGGGAGAATATTCTTCATATTCAGAATCTTCGGAATCTTCAGAATCTTCTTGTACTTGAGTTTGTATTATATTTGCTAAACATTCTAAGTAATCATTAATGTCATTATATATTTGTTTCGCTTGATCTAATTCCGCGGAAGTTGGTTTGTTAGACATTTTTCTATTATTATTTTATAAAAGAGGAACGAAAGGGTAAAATTTGATAAAAAATTGTTAATAAAAGAATAAAAGAATAAAATAAATCTATGATACGTGTTTTTTTAAAGAACGCGAAAAAAAAAATAAAAGTGGGAATATTTCTACTATATTTAAAATATTTTAAATGTTGATCATTTTTTTATTTATCCCTTTATTTATATTTATAATAAAGGAAAAATAAAAATGGAGAACGGAAAATAGAGAAAAATGAAAAAATTACTAATAATGGATATATTCAAAAATTTAAACAATGGAAAGGGAATTTTTTTTTTTTTAAGGAAGAAAATTCCAATGAGAAAAAAAAAAAGAAAAAAAAAATCCGTACCGAAAGTTTTTTAGATGACCTACTTATAGAATTTTTTTATCAAAAAATCTTTGAGGGTAAACTGATATCAAAAATTCTTTTTGGGGTGAGGAAGAAGAGAAAGCTTGTTTGGTTTGTTTATTTGTTTATTGTTTGTGTTTATTTACTCGTTTTTGCGGTGTTTTGAAAAAGGGGCGCAGCAATAAATGTGGCTTCTTATCATTAAAAAAAAAAAAAGTCGGACCGTGGGTCTTTCTTTCTTTCTTTCTTTTTTTGATTTCTCGTTATCTTTATATATATATCTTTATATATATATATTTTAATTTAATTTATTTATTTATTTACTTATTTATTTATTTATTTATTTTTTCCCAATTTATTCGAGTTTATCCAATTGGAATAATTTTATGATAAACCTGCTTATCGTTGTACATTCAATAGATAATTAGATACCAAAGAATGAAGGATTAACAAAAAAAACAGGTTTTTTAATTTTTTTAATTTTTTTTGTAATTAAAAAATTTTTAATTACTTTTTTTTTATGGGAAGAAGATGACTAATCTTTTTGTGATGATTTATAAATTTTACAGCGAAGTAAAAACTGGGAACGTAAATCAATTCTCTTAAATAGCTTTTTTTTAATTTGGAACATCTTTCGGAAAGCTCGTTTAAGAAAATTCTAATTTAGTAAAAAAGAAGGGATTTACTATAAAGGTAATCATAGAAGGCTTAGGGTTTTGATATTTACTCCTGCATAAGTCAAAGTCTTGCTATTTTAAAAAAAAAAAAAAATTTTAAATGATGAAATAATTGATAAATAATAGATCGGAAGATATAAAACTTTTTTAAAACTCATTAAAAAGCCTTTGTTTAATATAAACAATATTAAATAAATAAATAAATACTAAAATATATGTATATATAAAATACGTATTGTATAAAATATCATATTATTGTATTATTATATATATATATATATATTTTTTTATTTTATTTTTTTTGTTTGTTTCAAATTCAAAAAGTAGTTCTTTTTTAAACGTCACAAATCTTGGGGAAGGGTTTCTAATCCACTTAGTTTACCACGCGATAAGTATGAGAAACAATAGACACACAAAAATTATGTATAATATTTTGGTGAGCGTAGATCCTTTTTTTTTTAAACTATAGGGGAAATTCGGTATATCATTTATTAGGTTAAAAAGTTTTAAAATTCGGCTAATTGAAATTAGCCAAGATGTGATTCGTGGATCGATCCTTAAAAAAGGTTCATTCATTTTGTTTATAATAAACACCATAATAATAATTATTCCTGGAAATGTTGATACAATATTTCTCTTTTACACCACAGATCATCATTATTAAATAGAAAAAAATGACTAAGTTAATTTTAGATATTTTATTAAATTGCTTTTTTTATAAAAACAATCGTAACATACGTAACATAAGTTAAATAATAATAATGAATCGAAATTACGCATTTACACCTTAACGAAAAGATTCTAGATGATCTCAGCCTATAACATTTCTCCTTGATCGTTTCAAGTCTTTGAATGCTATTTTTTTTTTTTTTTATTAATATGATTTTTTTCGGCAATGAAATAGTAATAAAATAGAATGCATCGACAAAGCCAAAAATTAATTGTGTAACACACATACCTATTTCTTTATATTTCACTCATAAACTTATCGTTCTATTTTTTTCACAAGATTGGCGGTATGCTATCAAAAACATCGAGTAAATCTTCTTTATAAAAGAAAAAGTCGTGGGGTAAGTGCGTTTAGTTTAAACTAAATGTATGTATGGGGGGAAATTAATATTAAAAATTTTTTTTGGAGGGAATTCTTCGGATTCAATTAAAACTTTATTCTTTTAGTATTGCATGATACATGCACGCTACGACAAAAAGTAACCCTCGTTGTTGTTTAAAATCTTGTTTAAATTCCAAATATGTTAATGATATTTTTAGTTTATATATATGTATATTTTTTTATTGGCCATTAAAAGAATGATTCATATGTTTCTTTTTTCTTGTTTCCAAACTAGTTTTATGACGTATTCATAAGGCGGAATTACATGCAATTATTGTATGCTACTAGTATCATCCAATTCTTGCAAATTCCGTGATTATAATGATTATGTATGTATGCCACTATATGTATTGCAGTCATTTTTTCGTCTTCACAATCGAAAAAAACAATGATGTTTGACATCTCACTTCGCTGTCATTATTCCATTATTCTCCACTTCCCAAAAAAAAAAAAAAAAAAAGAATTTTAAATTAGTTTAGCCTACCGTGTTTTTTTATTACCCAGCTCTTTGTGTGACTTTTGCGCCCTGTATGCCTTGTGTGATTTGTGTAACCATGAATCTATACTTCGCCTAAAAGTCGTGTTTTTTTTTACAACGATTTGCGCGTCTATTTGAATAGAAATGTAATAATAATAACTATACAACATACATTATATGTACATATTTATAATAAAGTTCACATAATAAGATGAAATTAGTTAATATATAAAATTGGTATAACGTAGGATCCGGTAATATCCCTCCGATTTATTGAGAGTTGGGGTTGTAATCCCTGTAATTGATAAATTAGTGTTTATTGAAATACCAATTTTATTAAGAAAAAAAAAAAAATCATTACGAAATTTTGTAACCTATTAACTAACTTTAACTGAGGTAATTGAGTAACCTTTTTTCCTCAAATACATCTTTTACTACTGCAAATAAGTTTATGCGAAAAGTACTATTGATTTATTTTCTTAGTTATATTATTAACCAAAAACAAAAAAAAAATTTCTTGAATCTCATTGGTGAGTTGGCCTTTTTTGTATAATAATAGTAAAAAATTTTTTTATTTCGATTAGGAAATTCCAATTTTAATAGATGATCAACAAATTGATCAGCTTTTGTGTTTCTTGTGTTATTGTTACTATTGTTACAAATATTCATTACACAATAATACTGTGCCCAACTTGACTGTGCCAATAATAATCACCTGCTTCTATTATTTGTTTTTGTAATAAAAAATTTTTTTTTTCGTTATTCATCTCAAATAATCAATTCTTATTGGACGGTTTGATTTTCCTTTACTTTTTTTTTTTTTTTTTTTTTTAAAAAAANTAATTGAAATGCTAGATTTAATTTATCATTCCAAGTTAGATTTTCAAACCGTTCACTTAAATAGTTTCGAAGAGTACCACTATCAGCATATTCCATAACCAGCAAATATTTTTTTGAATTTTTTTTTTTTTTTTCTTTTGAAAAACAAAAATTACAAAAAAAACTACAAAAACCAAATTACTGCGTATGATGTCAACTTGTAATTGTAACCTGTAAATCGGGTCATCAAGTAATCATAAAATTCCAAATGCAAGCCACATATTTCCTTTTCAAAAATGAAAAATGTCAAATGACCTTATTACTTTGCATAATCCTTATGAAAAAAACTTGAAAATCGTGAAATCGTGAATTTCATATATCCAAATTTAAAAACAATAACTTTTACGTAATTTGTTATTAAATAATCATCATCAAAGACATTTAATTAGTTATAAATATGATGGGAATTTTTCCTTGAAAAATCAAAAAAAACAAAGATAACAAAACTTGTTATTTTTCCCGTTTTTTTTTCTTCTTCCCCTGCTTTAATTTATACATTAAAAGTTTTCTCCCTACATTAATTTATATACGTTAAAAAAAATTATATATAATTTTTTAAAATTTTTTTTTCTTTTAACGTGATATAAAAAAAAATGAGCTCCTCAAATTCTTTCACCCCCTTCGATCATTCTGATGATCAACAACCTACTAAACCTATCGTTAACAACATCTCTAACTTTGACGACAATATCATTCCTAATTCTTCCGAATTAGATAGTGATATGTTATCTAATGATAATATCTCTCAACAAAATTCCGATTCTATTATCAATGCTGAAACTTCTACTACTGATACTACTACCACCTCTAAAAAAGTTTTCAAAAAGAAACCGACTGTTGATCCGAATTACATTTTATTTGGTTATATTCCTAATTATAAGATACCAATTGTCAATATTCCAATTTCTTATCCTTTGGATGTAATTTCTGATAAAGTCAGGTATATCATTTCTTCTTTCTCTATATAAAAACCTTTTATAAAACTTTTATTAAATATTTGTTTTTTATAGGTATATTACTTCGAAATTTGGTTTCGGTGAGAAAGGAATCGCTAAAAAATCGATCGCGTCAAGATTACAATCATTTATTTATGGTGGTAATATTCCGAAAAAAAGTGTTTTCTCTTATATTCAATCATTTAGTAGTTATAAAAAAACGGTAGAGAAAAAAGATGTAGTAGAATCCACATCTCAACAACAATAATTTATATTTACAATTTATATTTTACAATTTATATTATTTTACAATTTATATGAGTTTTTTTTTTTTGGCTTTGATATTTTTCTTTGTCAGTAAGATGAATCTCGTATAAAGGGATTGAATATATGAACATTTTTTTTTTTTTATTTTGTCAGTAAGATGAATTCTCGTATAAGAGATTGAATATATGAACATTTTTTTTTATTATTTTTTTGCAATAAATTTAAAATTCTATCTAGAAAAAGCTGTACGCTTGTTTTACTGTAAATTTGTAAATTCCAACTTTATGAATTTCGTAGAAGATTAGAGGGTGTATTTAATTGGTTAATAGTCACGTGATATGCCAAAGCTGTAATAACGAGTATATAGATAATGAGTATGATATAACCTTCATCATATATAATCTTTTATCTATGCTGTATAGTTATTTCAAATCTTAATATATAAAGTCAAATTTTTAACCCAAATCTCCAACCCTAATCCATCATAGATCTTTGAATATAACTACTATACCTTTTTTTAATAAAAATGAATCCAGCTTTAGAATTTTATCAGACTTAATTGCATGAAATGTAATATCTTTACAGAATAGCTTTCAAAAATCATTAATAAAGTTTTGTTCATATTACTTGTATTTACAGTATTCATAAATTCCCTATATGCAAAAAATATAGTACTTCTGTATAATGATATGTTGGAACTTTTATAAAAATTTCTATCATAGTATTAGTATAAACATGTCAAAAAATATCTTTTAATTAGAATATTATGTGCAATTCTAAATCATGATTTTTTTTATAGTTTAAACAGTTTGTATAAATAGAACTAGAAAATTTTTTGAATTTTTTATTGTTTACATAACAACTTTCAAAGATTTTTATCAGTAATAAAACCACAATTAAAAATTAGCCATATATAAAAATAATAGAATATTATTATTTGAAATTGGAATGTGTTGGTTAAAGTTAATAATGTATTATATTATTAATTATTTAGTGAATTTATTTACTCAAATATAATTAACATTATAAATAAAACCTAATAAAAAAACTACAATACCAATATAATCAAATAATACAACCAAATATATTAATAAATTAATTGAAAGTATAAGTTTTAAGAATTTGTTACTAGTAATTTCTTTTTTTTAAGGGTCCAGTATATTACGTCATCCCCTATATGGCAAAAAATTGGAGATCATCTTTTTCTTACTTTCATTACAAGAAAAAATTTTTTAATGTTTTTCAAACTCCTGCTTAAAAATATCTGTTAGAGAGCCAAAGTTTCTGGTTTTTCAAATAAACTTTAAAAAAGTATAGTATAAATATAGTTTACAACGAAAAACTACCATATGAAGTTAACAGTAATTGCGAATTCTCTAAGGTAAGTTGCGAATTCTCTAATTAGACTAACTTTAAATTAACTTAAAACTTGCGAAACTTTGAGACTTAATAATATAGTAATTAGTTAAATAATTTATATCAAAAAATTAGCAAGCATCATATTCAAATAAAAATTTTTACTAATACCATTTTATTTTTTTATTATCTTAAGTGTATTTGTTCCTTTAAACTAAATACAAAATATTTCATGTGTTGTGAAGTAATAATTAGATTATTATAATTTTATAATGAAATGGAAAGGCAAATAAATTAATTTAATAACCTTGAATTATATATTTGGCGTTTGTGGAGTTATTATTT